GGATCATGACCTGAGCTGAAGGCAGATGCTTAACGACTGAGCCACCCAGGTGCCCCTACCTTGTTGTTTTTTATTACCAGGATCCAATCAAAAGAAACTAAAATTTAAGATTTAGCAATGCTAATGGATCTTTAGTTTCAAATAAGTTCTGTGGTATTTAAGATATAGATATTTGATTGCATTAACAAAGACACAGACTTAATGATGGTTTAAATAAGGAGGCTGTTTATTTCTGCCGTATTTAACCACCTGAAGATAAAGTGGTCCCAGTCTGTAGTGGGTGGGGGTGGGCTCTGTTGTCCTCCATATGTGGCTTCCATCTCTGAGGCCTATCAAGACAGCTGTGCCAGTTCCACCGTCATGCCGGGTAGAATGGAGGGGAGGGTATACTCAGTCCTTTTACGGGTGTATCTGGGTATTGCACATATTACCTCTGCTCCTATCTCATTGGCAAGAACATAATCATGTAATGGTATCTGTAATAGAGGCCTGGATAAGCAGACTTTTATGCTGAATGGCCACATGTCTAGTGATAATTCAAGTATCAAAAGAAAGAATGGCTATTAGGGGGAACATTTAGCTTCTCTGTCACAAGTTCTTTTTTGCAAATGACTGAGCTATACAAAACTACATTAAACCCATTTAACAACTTCTTATACCCTATGACTTTTCTCTTTTTGAGATGTATAGGCCTAATAATTGCTCCCACTCAATACTGAGCCCATATTGAACCCAGACTGTTATTCTTTTTTGAACGCTTTGATATGTGGTTTATAGATGTTTTGTCTGTTTCTAGGGCAGAAGACACTTCAGAATCAGTCCATAGTTTAGGGTGCATCTGTGATTAGTATTTTTCAATATTAGTATTTTTCACTCCCAACAGTGCTTAACACTACGGTTTGTGTAAAACTGGTGCCTAACACATGTCTGTAGGTTTGGTCTCTTGTGTTTGACTCATGTCTAAGTCATTTGAAAGTATGAGACTGACATACTATGAAGAAGAGAAGTAGCCTCTACTCATTACTTTTTGTTATATTTCTGATTTTGAAAAAAGTGATATCTTACAGGGTCATGATTGTTCTGAGAGATTATCTATCTTGAGCTAGAGATTTTAGCATATAGTAAATGAAAATAAGTGTACTTAAAATTATAGACATCTTCTAAATAATTTAAAAATTGGGAAATGTATGTATACTGATATACAATAATCTGATAGCTTTATCAGTTTGTAATATAAAATTTTAACTGCTTATATTGCCCCTTTGGGGAGAAGATTAAGTATGACATTTTTGTGATGGATAGTGATAAATGGAAACCATTATATTTATAAAGAAAAAGTCACTAATTTCCTCTAATTTTTCTTTAGGTCGAGATTTAATTTGTATCCAGTCTATGGATGGGATGCTGATGGTGTTTGAGCAGGAAAGCTATGCTTTTGGGAGATTTCTCCCTGGTTCTCTTTTACCTGGCCCTCTTGCTTACAGTTCCCGTACAGATTCCTTCATTACTGTCTCTTCCTGCCGACAAGTGGAAAGTTACAAGTAAGTTTGGATGTTGAATCTTTGGAATCATGACTCTTGGTATGTTGCTGATTAATATTTTTTTTTACAAAAAGCTTGGATATTACAAATGAAAAAGAGACTGGTTTCTTTGATAAAATGTAATTGTGGTGATTTAGAGGATATCATTTACATATTATAAAATATTTGCAAGTATAGTACAGAGATTGAGAGAAAGGATTTGGAAAGAGGCAGACCTGGATTGGAATCCTGATTTTGCTACTTGCAGCTGTTTGATGGTCAGTGTCCTTACCCTGGTTGTAACGGGGATAATAATGGCTATTTTTTTTTTTTGGCTTTTAAAGTTTTTAATTCCAGTTAGTTAACATACAGTGTTATATTAGTTTCAGGTGTAATATAGTGATTCAACAATTCATACATCAGCAGATGGTCATCACAAGTGCACACCTTAATCCCCAGCACCTATTTAACCCATCTGCCATCTCCCTCCCCTCTGGTAACCATCAGTTTGTTCTCTATAATTAAGAGTCTGTTTCTTGATTTGTCTCTCTCTTTTTTTCCCTTTGCTCATTTGTTTTGTTTCTTCAATTACACATATGATTGAAGTCATATGGTATTTTGTCTTTCTCTGACTGATTTATTTCACTTAGCATTATACTTTCTAGCTCCATCCATGTTTGTTGTAAATGGCAAGATTCCATTCTTTTTTATGGCTGAATAACATTCCATTGCTCGCATGCACGTATGTGTGTGTGTATCATATCTTTTTTATGCATTCAACAATAGATGGACACTTCAGCTGCTTCCATATCTTGGCTATTGTAAATAGTGCTGTAAACATAGGAGTGCATGTATCCCTTTGAATTACTGTTTTTATATTCTTTGAGTAAATATCCAGTAGTGCAATTGTTGGATCGTAGGGTATTTCTGCTTTTGTTTTTTGTTTTTTTTATTCTGTTATGTTAATCACCATACATTACATCATTAGTTTTTGTAGTGTTCCATGATTCATTGTTTGCGTATAACACCTAGCGCTCCATGCAGTACGTGCCCTCCTTAATACCCATCACCAGGCTAACCCATCCTTGTTTTTGTTTTGAGAGAGAGAGAGAGAGAGCAAGTGGGGAGGGACAGAGGGAGAGAATCTCAAGCAGGCTCCACACCCAATATGGAGCGTGATGAGGAGCTCGATCTCACGACCCTGAGATCATGACTTGAGCTGAAATCAAGGGTCAGATGCTTAACAGACTGAGCCACCTAGGTGCCCCAGGGTAGTTCTGTTTTTAACATTTTTTTTAACTTTTTGAGGAACCTCCATACTGTTTTCCAGAGTGGCTTCACCAGTTTTAATTCCCACCAACAGTGCAAGAGGGTTCCTTTTTCTCCACATCCTTGCCAACACCTGTTGTTTCTTGTGTTGTTGATTTTAGCCATTCTGATAGGTATGAGGTGATATCTCATTGTAGTTTTGATTCGCCTTTCCCTGATGGTAAGTGGTGATGAACATCTTTTCATGTGTCTGTTGGCCATCTGTATGTCTTTTTTGGAGACATGTCTGTTCATGTTTTCTGTCCATTTTGTAATTGTATCATTTGTTTTTGGGGTGTTGAGTTTTATAAGTTCTTTATATATTTTGGATACTCACCCTTTATTGGATATGTCATTTGCAAGTATCTTCTCCCATTCCGTAGGTTGCCTTTTCATTTTGTTGATCATTTCCTTTGCTGTGTGGAAGCTTTTTATTTTGATGTAGTCCCAGTACCTTATTTTTGCTTTTGTTTCCTTTGCCTGAGGAGACATATCTAGAAAGAAGTTGCTACAGCTTATGTCAAAGAGGTTATGCCTATGTTCTCTTGTAGGACTTTTATGGTTTCAGGCCTCATATTTAGGTCTTTAATCCATTTTGAATTTATTTTTGTGTATGATGTAAGAAAATGGTCTAGTTTCTTTTGCATGTTGCTGTCCAATTTTCCCAACACCATTTTTTTAAAAGATTTATTTATTTATTTGAGAGAAAGAAAGAAAGGGCGAGCACAAGCAGTGGGAGGGGCAGAGGGAGAAGCAGACTCCCCACTGAGCAGGGAGCCCAACTTGGGGCTCGATCCCAGGACCCTGGGATCATGACTGAGCTGAAGGCAGACGCTTAACCAACTGAGCCACCCAGGCACCCCAGTTGAAGAGACTTTTTCCCATTGGATATTCTTTCCTGCTTTGTCAAAGATTAATTGACCGTATAGTTGTGGGAATAATGGCTATTTTGACAAGCTTGTTAAAAGGATTGAATGTATGTCAAGTTGCCACCCCATAGAAAATGCTGATTAATTATTGTGACTGTTTCCTGAATTATTAGTAATAAAGCACAGTATGAGTGAAAAAAGCCAGATGAAAAGATGCATATATGAAATTATTTTATAAAAAAATATGTGACATAGGAAGAATACTAGCAAAAATACAAGCGTTATTATGAATGTTTTAAAAAGAACAATTCATAGTACAAATGAAGTATGAAAATGACCCTATGAAAACAGTTTATACTTTTTTCTTACTGATTTGGAGGAATTGTGTTTGAGAGAGACCTTTTTCTTCTACCAGCTAAATTTTAATAAAAATTAGGGTTTTGAGTTTTTGGAGGGTGTGTTTTTTTGTTGGAGGGGATAATGGGGAAAAGAAAGTACAAATTCATTCTTGGAAAAGAAATAGACTTGGAGGATTACAGTATCTTCAGTAACTTTATTGTTGTTATCTTACCGATGGCAACACTTAGAACTTTAAACGTCTAAGCAACACTTCATTATAGCTTTTCAGTATTATTTTTGGTCGTATGATTTTTCCCAAGGCAGGAAGAAATATAAATTCATCAGGCAACACCTGTAAATTTTTGTCTTCAAGTTTCAGTATTGTGCATATAGCAAGTTAATGCAGTATTCCCTTCACCTTCATTAAGTGGCAATCTACCTTTTGTGAATTATTGTCAAGGTATCTTAGATTCCAAAGCCTGAACATAAGCAAATGTTTGTGACTAAGCAGAAGTTAACTGACGGAGGTACTGTGTCATTATATCATACTCCTTCTTTAACTCCTATGGCTCTTATCCAAAGGAGACGAATGAATTGTGGCATTGCTACTGGTAAGAAATAAAATATACTTATTTTGAGAGGGTTGAGAAAAATATCTGTATAATTCATTCAAGCCTGGCAAAGATTAAGCAATATTGAGGAGATCTGCTTTTCAGCTTTCCACCCAGTTCCGTGCCTCAACTCCTGCCTAGGAGGGAATTGGCATTGCTACACTTGGGGACACAATAGAAAGATTTGAACGCTCCATGACTTACTCTTTGAAATATGTGCATAGGAATTAATTTGGTTATAACTCCAGGAGTGACTGGATGAGGAAGCAATGTGTAGGTTTCCTTAATGTGTAAGTTTAATCTCAAAGAAGCTCACCCTCTTTGAACTGTGGTAATTTACCAACATACCAATCTATTAAATCCATCTCCATCTAGGACTAAAAATGCACACCTTATCCCTTGTGTGGATCTTTTATAATGGTAAAAATGCATAGGATATGTGATTATTATGAAATGATGCAATTAAGGCTTATAACGTTAAATAGTATATTACATTTATATACGCTTTCAAGTTTAATAGATTAAATTAAATGATAATCGCTGGTGCAATTTAGGGTTGGAGGAAGCATGAAAACTGTAGGTTTGTTCTTTTTTTTTAAATTTTTTTTTTTTAAGATTTTATTTATTTATTTATTTGAGAGAGAGAGAATGAGAGAGAGCACATGAGAGGGGGGAGGGTCAGAGAGAGAGAGCAGGGAGCCCGACACGGGACTCGATCCCGGGACTCCAGGATCATGACCTGAGCCGAAGGCAGTCGCTTAACCAACTGAGCCACCCAGGCGCCCCTGTAGGTTTGTTCTTTTGAGGCTTCATCTATTTATAATCAGTTAATAGAATGAAATCAGTTAATAGAAAAGACTTTTAAGACATAATTTATTTTCATTTTTGATATTGATATTTAATTACTTTAAAACAAGCTCAGTTATATTCAGATAGGAACTAGTGAAGGCTGTGGATCTCAAACTTCAGTGTGCATAAGGATCATTTGGGCAGCCTGTTATAAAATGCACATTTGCAGATTCCCAATTACCAGTACACTAGATTTTGATTTAGTAGGTTTGGGGATAAGAGCGAGAAATCATCACTGCAAACATATACTCTAGGTGGTTCTAATTTAGAAACACACTTTGTTGTTTTTCTTTTGAAGTGAGAGAATTGTTTGCCTTTTTTGGGGGGAGAGGTTGCAGGATAGATAACACCATTCTCTTAGCAATGTTTGTTCCAATTTTGGATTAGCTTTTATTCTCTTTTTCTTTTTCTTTCCTTTACTTGTCAGAATTATTTGGTCAGTAAATCCTGACCTTTGGGTACTTTTTCCCCTTGTATTCAGCCTTTGCTTCCCATTTCCCATAAAGGCATTCAGGCCTTTATTTCTCACTTGCATTTCTGGTTTTCTTCTAATCTAGACTTTGAAGGATCCTTCTCATATCTAGCCTTTTAAAATAACCTGTTTAAGCCAGAATAATTTTTGTTGCCCATTAAAAAATTGAAACCTTCATATATTGACATTCAGTGCTCCTTACAACCCAGTCCCATTCTACCTCTGTTAATTTGGATGTTCAGATTTGGAAGGGACTTTTAAGTTAACTGGTTCAATTATCCTCCTTTTTTTCACCTCCTTGATATATTATTGCCTAAAACACTGATTTTTGCCAAATATCATATATTGCCTTCTTGTATTCTGCTGAAATATTCCAGAGTATGTCTTGTGTTATCAGATTCCTGAGAGCAGAGTTTGTCTTAAACATGGCTGAATAAGTTCATTTATTCAATTATTCATTCAGGAAACATTTTTCAAGAGGCTTCTCTGTGTCACACACTGTGCCAGGTACTGGAAGCACAGAGTCAAGTCAGAGCTGTCTCTTGTCCTCAAGCAGTATGCAAGCAAGGGTGGGAGGTAGTAAGTCAGCTGTTTCAGTTCATTGTGATAGAGGCTCTAGAGAGCTGTGCACAGGATACTGAGGAGGCCTACAGGTGGGACCTCTCAGTAAGAGTTCAGTGGAGGGAGGCTCCCTGAAGAAGTATACCTGCCATGAGCTTTATTTTCTCTCCTTTTCTTTGCTACACACCATACCCAACATGTACCTAGTACATTGCTAAGTAGATAAGTGACTTTAAAGAAGTATTTTTAAATTATTTGTAGAGTTTAATTGACAATATTTAATTAATTTATTTATTTAAAGATTTTATTTATTTATTTGACAGAGAGAGACACAGTGAGAGAGGGAACACAAGCAGGGAGGGTGGGGGAGGGAGAAGCAGGCTTCCCGCCAGGCAGGGAGCCCATGTGGGGCTCGATCCCAGGACCCTGGGATCATGACCTGAGCTGAAGGCGACGCTTAACGACTGAGCCACCTAGGCACCCCAATTGACAGTATTTTAAAAAGAATATCGTGTTCTTCACCAACCTTAGGCTCTGGCCAAATTGAAATATTTGTTTTCCATATATGTTCAGGGCTTTTCTCTCTCTCCTCTTTTGCTCATACTGTACTCTATCTGAAGTTTTTTCTTTCTTCTCTGTTTATGAAAATTATGTCTGGAAGCCTCCCTGCCCCGCTGCTCCTCTTCCTGACCTAGCCATAAGTAGCACCTCCTCCTTCTTAATTTCACGGAGTAGTTTTTTTGCTCTTTCCTCAAGTACTAGTCACACTTTAACTGGTATTACGTATTTGCTTATTTTTCTCCTTGACAGGGCTAACTGCTCCTTGATGGCAGGGATTTTGTATCTCCTGAAATGCCTAGCATTGTACCTTGCTAAAGGGAGATGTTTAACAAGAACTTGATGAAAGAGTGAAAAGTTTGTAAGGAAAGCTATTTTGTTACTGGCATGTTTCAATGAAAAGGACTCTTCCTGGCATAACTAAGAATGTTTTAGCTTTACTTGTAATGAACATAGTAATGCTCTGTATCTGGAGCTTCCATTTCTAGTAGAGTTCTCTGGGTAAATACCAAGTTTCCAAGATCTCCTGGTACCTTTGCAGTGACACCTATGTTTCATTTGAAAATAATTGATTTTGGAGGGTTTAGTTTTGTGCTCTGTGACACCTCAATCCATATTTTAGTTACTTGGTGCTGTTTTTACGATGTGATATGGAAGAGCACTAAATTATATGGCTGAGTTTGTCATGGGGTTCCACAGGACCTGTTAAGCATTTGTGGCTATTGGGTCAAAAAGTGCTACCATTCACCTGGACTTGCCGTATTTGTGCTTAGTGCCTTTCTGTTGAGAAACACATATGATACACTCTTGTGAAATCTTATTACACTGGGCCTGATTATTCTTTCAGCAGTGTCAATGAGGGACTTTTATTCTTTAGCTTATATCACTGAACATTTGAGTGGTAAGAAAAAAAAAACGCAAGTATTTTCTTTATTTCAGAATTTCCAAGTCTGCCTGGAATTGTTTGGTTTTGGAAATAGGTTTCCATGTACATTATTGGTCAACAGTAAAGAGGACTTAAGGGAGAACTATAAAATAGATGCTATTGTAAGTTTGTCATCATCTAAATTTACTGTCAGTTACATTTAGTAATAAAATACTCCTCTGAGTTGTATTCCAGGAAGAGCAACCATCTGGGTTTGGAAATCAGGAGTCAATTTTGGCTGTGTCTCTGCCTGCTGTTTTGATGTTAATGAGGCCACTTCAGGGGCTCACTTATTCCTGGATGATATAATAATGCTTTGTAGTTCTGTAAGAAGCTTCAAGCAGCTCAAAAGTTTGGATTTTTACAACAGTCTCATTAATATCCATATCATCCTCTAGTAGGTTGGTGTGTGCAGGAAATCAACCTCCTATGTAATTAATTGCCTGAGGTTGGATCCATAGCAGGCCCAGCTCTGGGGCTGATGTTTTAGTCACCAGTGCATACAATTTCTGTTACTGTGTACTGGGAAGAGTAAAATAATCCTATCTGAAGCTTGGAATGTGAGGTCTAATTATTTGGCACTGTTGGAGACAGAGGGATTTTGTAGGTCAGTCTCAAATGGTATGGAGACATTTGCTACAGCTGCCCATGGAATTTCTTAGCATGGTTTTACAAGGCTGAGATCTTCACCCACCTACCTTTTTTGTCTCGTTTCCCATGACTCATTCCTCCCTGCCATGCATCTCTCCTAAACTCCTGTCATGGCCTTTCATGTCTTTTTTTACTACTTGCCTTTTCATGTGCTGTTGGCCTTGCCATAATGCCTTTACCTCTTTACCAGCATGATGAGTGTTCACTCATTCTTTAAAACCTGGCTTTCTTCTCCTGAACCTATACTAAAACATATATCTCCATCTCAATTACTTGTTTCTGCCACCATGTTCCCTAGGAACCATGTGCATACCTCCTATTATTAGCACAGAGCACTCTTAGATATATTAGATGTATTAGATCGCTACTATATGTTTATTGAATTGATGAAATTCATATACATTCAGCTTCCATTTTAACCGTAAGACTGATTTTCGTGAATACCTTGCTAAGTCTATCTTAATTCTTAGTCATTTTGCATCCAACTGCAATTAAAGGCATTTTTTTTTTTTTACCAAGTATTCCTGATTGAGATAGTTTTAAGAGTTGGTATATGACATTTGAATACCAGTGTACATTTTAGTGCTTATTTAGGTATTCCACATTGCTTTTATTCATTCAGGTCATTGATTTTTACACTTTCAGATATCTTTCTCTTAGACAATATGAGATGTCCAAATATATCTACTGATTTTCCTTTTAGCTATGGAAGAACAATGCAAGAGTTTTGATTCAATAGGAAAGAAAGGAATTTATGAGTCTGAAGTTTCTTCATTCAGAGTAGGATTATTACTTTAACAATATATCATTAATTAATGGGAAATAAGAGAATTTAAATTTTATTGGCTAAGTTAATCATTTCAGGATTGAATGATATTTGTGAATTGTTTTAAAGAATGATTTAAGCTAAAGGTTACTAATGAAATAAAAGCTATCAAACACTTATAGAAAGTCATAATGTACATAATGCACCTTATTGAGAACTTATTACATACCAGATAAACTACTAGGTGATTGATCTCTATTTATATGTAAATCTGTGTCTGTCTGTTTGTTGATCTATTGGGCACCTAATATATGCCAGATACTATACTAGGCATTACATTATTTTTAAATTCTTTTAACCATGTTTGAGGTAGAGATTATTATTCCCATGTTGTAGGTGGGAAAGATAAGACACAGTGATTAGTTTGCTAACTAGTAAGTGGTTTATCTGGGGACTAAACTGGTCTTCTGGGTGTCATAGAATATCTGTTAACAGTTTCTACTACATCTGGCTGCTTTGCATTATTTATGTTTTTTTCTATGTGGTGTTTTGGTGCTGGATCTTTCTTGAATATTGTTGTTTGTCATATAAAATTCTAATGGAAATGCTTTGATAGTAGGCAGAGCTATTTTCCCAATATGGAATTTTGGGACATGGTTATAATAATTTCTTTATCATGACAGTTTTACATAGTTTCATGTCACAGTGTCATTCAATAAGAATTCAGTCTTAAATTTTACAGTTTTTAAAACCAAGAAAAATGTAATTCATAAGTTTATAGTTATGTGATTTTAAAGTTTAAAGTAATTTATACTTTTTAACTATAAAATCACTTATAATTATTCATATCTTTCAAACAGGTACCAAGTACTTGCTTTTGCAACGGATGCAGATAAAAGACAGGAGACTGAACAACAAAAACTTGGTTCTGGGAAAAGACTTGTTGTAAGGCCTTTTTTAATATATAAGAATTTCAGTAATGTCATATTTAACCACCAATTTTTTTTTCCAGAATAAAGATTCCTGGGAAGAAAGTTTTAAAAGATATTTGTTTTAGCTATTTTTCTTTTCTATGTTATGATTCTATCAATGGGCAAAAATTTAGTTGGCTATTATTGAGCAATGGAGACACATGTCTGGTCCTGTTATAATTTATTAGATCATAGAGTTGCACCACTAGAATTATAAATGTGCAGATGAGGTCACTTTTAACTGAAGTGATTATAAGACAACATAGCAAAAAGAAAAAATTAGAAAAGAAAAACCTTTAATAAGCAAAAATACTGTTACGAGTAGGCATGTGGTTAAATATATAAGCAAAAGATAAAAATTCATAGCCCACAAAGATAAAATTGGCTCAAAGACAAAGGTGGAAGTTTGGTAATTTGAAAAGTAGTTTGAAGAAAAGTTGTAAATGATAAATTCTCTGTTTAATGAAAATTAGGAAATAGATGATGGTTGTGAACTCTTTATCCTGAGAACCTCCATAGACAGGAAAAAACAGAAGGAATTGAAGATTATAATGGAAATAGTAAAGTGTATTTGAGATGGACACATACTTAAGAAACCATATGAGGAAATAATGTGGAATTTAGAATACCAAGGAAGGAAGAATATTAGAGAAAACCAATTTTTTTTTTTTAAAGATTTTATTTATTTTTTGACAGAGAGAGACACAGCGAGAGAGGGAACACAAGCAGGGGGAGTGGGAGAGGGAGAAGCAGGCTTCCCGCAGAGTAGGGAGCCCGATGCGGGGCTTGATCCCAGGACTCTGGGATCATGACCTGAGCCGAAGGCAGACGCTTAATGACTGAGCCACCCAGGCACCCCAAGAAAACCAATTTTTTGTATTAGGATATAGAAATTAAGGTAGGAAGGAAGGCTAACTTGAAAAGAGCCAAGAATGAGATGAAAACATATTTTCTTAATAATAGTAAAAATTGAAAGAGCGCAACAAATACAAATATGACATACTTTTTCACAGAATTTGGAGGCACCATACTGATAATGGTTAAAGCATAGACTTGGAGGTCAGACTTTTTTTTAGGGTTTATTTATTTTCGAGAGAGCGAAAGAGAGAGCACTCGTGAGTAGGGGGCGGGGCAGAGGGAGAAAATCCTCAAGCAGACTCTCCGCCAACTGCAGAGCCGATGAGGGGCTGGGGCTTGATCTCACAACTCATGACATCACGACGTGAGCTGAAACCAAGAGTCGGATGCTTAAGCAACTAAGCCACCCAGGTGCTCCTTGGAGTCAGATCTTGAGAGCTATACTTACTACTAATTTTGAGCAAGTTTGAGCAAGTTTGTTGACCTTGCTAAATCTCAGTTTTCTCAGTTGCAAAATGGTGATAATACCTATTTTACAATGTTGCCATTAGAAATATATATATATATACACATATATATATTTATTTATCTATAGCACTTAGCAAAATGTCTAGATGATGAAGATGACGTTGATAATGGTAGTCAAATTGTCCTTGACCTCCTCCTCAATAGTGGTTTTCTTCCATTTGTCCCTTATATTCTGCACTCCAGCCACATGGGCTTCTCATTGTTCCAGATTTTCCATGGCTGTTCTTGATTCAAGGCTTCTGCACATATTTTTTATTTAGTCTGGAATACCCCTTACTTATTAATTGTAAATGTTTATTGATACTACTCTGTACCTTACACTGAGGATGTATTCTGAAGACAATTACAGTTGAGTGATTTTCCCATTCTCCTTTAATTAATTAGTCGAGTAAGAAATAACAGTAAAACTTCCTTTCGTTACACCACAGTCACTTGGCAGGACTCTGATGCCATGGAACATTAAGTCTATTGCAGAGAAACAAAATTTATCCAGGGGAATGCTTTTAATAAGGTAGTTGTGGGAAAGCAGTTAAAAGCTGCCTATGTTACTCAGAGTTACCTCTTAACTATTTGTTGATTTCTAATTTAATTCTTTTGTGGTCAGGGAAATACTTTGTATGACTCTGAATTCTTTCAGATTTATTGAGATTTTTATGGCCTAGAATATGGTCTATCTTGGTGAATCTTCACTGAGCACCTGAAAAGAATGTCCATTTTTTTTTTTAGCTGTTCTTGGGTGTCCTGTAAATGTCAGTTAGATTGGATGATAGCATTGTTCAGATCTTCTATGTCCTTATTAGTTTTTTTTTTTTTTACTAACTTCTGTCATTTATTCAGGGAGGGGTATTGAAATCTGACTGTGGATTGTCTGTTTCTCCTTGAAATTTTGTCAGTTTTTTGCTTCATGTATTTTGAAATTCTTTTATTAGGTATATAAACATTTAAGATTGTTATGTCTTATAATGAACATATACCCTTTTCATTATCAAGTAACCCTCTTTATCTTTTTGCTCTGGTAACATTCTTCTTTTGATGAGTGTTACTCTGATATATCTGTTTCCATCTTTTTACTTTTATCCAATTTGTGTCTTTGTAGTGAAAATGCATTTCTTGTAAGCAGCACATAGTTGGGTCTTGCTTTTTTGTTTAGTACGATATGCTCTGCCTTCTAATTTGTTTTTTAGACCATTCACATTTCATGTAATTATTAGTATGGATAGGTTTAAATTTGTCATGTGGCCATTTGATTTCTGTTTGTTCCTTCTGTTCTTTGTTTCCATTTTCTTGTTTTTCTGCTTTCTTTTAGAGTTATTCAGTATTTTGTATGATCCATTTTATCTTTGTTGGCTTATTAGTCATAACTCTTTGTTTTGTTATTTTAGGAGTTCTTTTAGAGTTTACAGTATTTAACTTATCATGATCTACTCTCAGTGATATACTATTTCACATATAAGGACCATACTTCTGTTTCTTAGCCTTTGTGTTATTGTCATATGCTATATTTTTACATACACTATAAACTCCATATTACGTTGTTACCATTTTTGTTTAAATGGTCAGTATCTTTTAATGTGATTTAAATGATAATAAAAATATGTATTTACCCATATAGTTACCATTTCTGGTACTTTTCATTAATTTGTGTAAACTGTATTTCCATGTGGTGTCATTTTTCTTCCTCCTGAAGGACTTGCTATCACATTTCTTTCAGTGCGAGTCCACTGGTGATGAATTCTTTCAGTTTTTCTATGTCTCCAAGATTTTTTTTTGCCTTTGTGTTTGAAAATATATTCTTTGGGTATAAGGTTTTAGTTTGACAGATTTTTTTCCCTCCCTGGCATTTTAAGAGGTTGCTCCACTCTCTTCTTGCTCCCATTGTTTCTCATGAGAAATCTGCCTACATTCTTATCTTTGTTCCTCTCTTCATAGTATCTTTTTTCCTCTGGCTGCTGTTCTGATTTTCTCTTATCACTTTTTTTAAGCAATTAGACTATCATGTGGCTTTGTGTAGTTTTCTTTATTTTGTGCTTAGAATTTGTTGAGCTTCTTGCATCTGTGAATTTATAGTTTTCATGAAAATTAGAAAATTTTTGACTCTTAATTCTTCAAACTTTTTTTTTTTTTAATGTTCCATCTTTCTTCTCTCCTCTGGGGACTCCAGTTACACATACATTAGCCTACTTAAAGTTATCTCACAGCTCACAGATTTTATTTTCATTAAAAACATTTTTTTTCTATTTTGTTTTGCTATGTTTTCAAGATTACTAATCTTTTTTCTGTAATGTCTAATCTGGTGTTAATTCTCATGGTTTTCATCTTTACAAGTTCAATTTGGTTTCTTTTTCTGTTATATCTTCTATGTCTCTACATAACTTTTTGAAGATATAGAATACACTGATAAAATTTGTTTTAATGTCCTTGTTTTCTAACACTTGCATCGGTTTTGAGTCTAGTTTCAGTTGACTTATTTATCTCTTCTTTGCGAATCATATTTTCTTGTTTCTTTACATGTCTGCTGATTTTTTATTAGATGCCAGATATAGTCATTTTACTTTTGGGTGCCAGATATTTTTGTATTCCTATAACTGTTCTTGAGCTTAGGCCTGGGATGTAGTTATGGTACTTGGGCAGCTTGATCCTTTTGGATTGTTAGCTAGGACCAGAGCAGCACTCATCCTGAGGCTGCTTATTCCCCACTCCTGAGATAAGACCCTTCTGAGTGCTCTACTCAGCTTCCTTTGAATTATGAGGTGTTCTAATCTGCTGGCAGGCACAGGCTGTATTCCAGGTGGTATGAATGCTGGGCACTGTTACCTCTAATCCTTTTGGGTGGTTCTTGCCCTGGCTTTGGGTCGTTTCCTTACATGAATGTGCTGATAAGTACTCAGATGAATATTTGAGAGGATTCCTTACAGATGTCAAAAGTTCTGTCCCTGTGCTGCTCTCTCCCTTTTGGCATGCTGTCTGTGCTCATCTGCTTTGCTTTCTCTGAACTCCCAGTGTTCATTTCCTCAATTCAGGGAGTTTGCTGGGCCTTGCCTTGGTTCCTCCTCCTGGGGCCATGGCCTGAAAACTGTCCCACGGATAGAGCAGTCAAACCACTCACCTCATTTGTTTTGTTCTCAAGGGATTGCTGTCCTTTGTTGTCTGATATTCAGTGCCTTGTAAACTGTTGTTTCATATGTTTTGTCCACGTTGTATTGTTTCAGGTGGGATGGTAAAGTCTTTCCTATTACTCTGTCTTGGCTGGAAGTGGAAGAATTTTAAAATTATTATTCTTAGTAAACTTCTGTGTTTTTTGAGACACATTAATTTAGAATGTGGTATATTTCCCTAAGGGGAGGTCACAGAGAGTGGTACTCAGTGCCTAGTGAATTAAAAGTGTTTACTGGCTGGATCTCAGCCTGCAGCATCAGAAACTTGGTTTGCTTATCCATTCTGAATGAATTGTCAGGGACATATCAGCCCAAGTTATAGACAGTGATCTTTCTTTCTTTGAGATGGAGAGAAGGGGGGAGGGGCAAAAGGAGAGGGAGAGAGAGAATCTTAAGTAGGCTCCAGTCCCAGCATGGAGCCTGATGTAAGGCTCCATCTCATGACTCTGAGATCATGACCTGGGCCGAAATCAGAAGTCGGAAACTTAACCAACTGAGCCACCCAGGCGCCCTAACGGTGATATTTAATGCTAGAATGATGGCCTATTAAAATGTAAGGAGAAATGTGACTCATGGGACTGACATTTATGTTTTGTGTACCATGGAATCTTTTCATATAGGTCAGCTACCCTTGAACTTAATGGTAATTGAATAATTTCTTTTTTTTTTTTTTTTTAAAGATTTTATTTATTTGGCAGAGAGAGACACAGCGAGAGAGGGAACACAAGCAGGGGGAATGGGAGAGGGAGAAGCAGGCTTCCCGCAGAGCAGGGAGCCCGATGCGGGGCTCGATCCCAGGACTCTGGGATCATGACCTGAGCCGAAGGCAGACGCTTAACGACTGAGCCACCCAGGCGCCCCAATTGAATAATTTCTTAGTGTTGAATCCTGATTCAGATTAAGATAATCGATCATTCACCTATATTCACTATGCTGTCTTCCTCCTTCAAGTTGTTTTTATATACACACCAATAATATTTGTTCTTCTGTCCAGCCGCATTTGGATTTCATACCTTCTTCAGATATTTTAATACCTGAAGTAGATAAATATCTAAGTCATATCTTGATGGTCAGAAATTTGTATCTTTAGTGTGAGTTTTCATATCTCTTCTTTGATCCATTATTTGTTGATTAGAGCCTAACTTTGAGGGCAGTCTTATTTCCTCTTTGTCCCGATGCTTTTGTGGAGCCATCTCACTGTCATTGCTGTCTGAATACAGTATATGTCTGTATATGTCAGCCCATGTCTTTCCTCTTTTCTGTTTTTTTTTTTTTAATTTAAAAATATTGATTGGGGGCTGAATTCTGAGAAGCATCTTCATTACATTCATTCCTTCCTTGTTTTATTTTTTTATTTTTATTTTTATTTTTTCTTCTTTTTTTTTTCCTTCCTTCCTTGTTTTAAGAAGCATTTCTTAAACACTGACCATGTTCCAGAGATACGGAGTTACCCTCGAGTAGCTCTTGAGGCATAGAGGATCCTGTCTGTATTCCTGGGACAGCTTGATGACTGCTCTGTATATACATATTGATACATTTTTAAATTGTCTTTATATTAAAATATTATAGTTACAACAATATTGGTTAGGTTTTAGTGATTATTAAATTTGATTTGCAAAGTAAACACAATATGGAAATTTCTCTTAGGGAAATTCTTCAGTGAAGCAGATAACTTCTTTATGTGTATATACGTATTTTTTGAACAAGTCATGATCCTTCCTTTTCTGTCTTAAGATCTTTGTATAGGTGGTTCACTTTGCATAGGGCATTCTCTCAACCAATTCGCTACCTGCCTTTTTCCCCCCCCTCCAGGTTTATGGAGGTATAATTGACAAATAAAAATTGTATAAACTTATGGTAAACTACATCTATTGATATATAAATACATTGTGCAATGATTACCATAATTAAGCTGATTAACAAATCTATCACCTCACATAGTTACCTTTTTTTATGTTAACATTTAAGATCTATCTTAACAAATTTCAAGTATATGTACTATACAGTACAGTATTATAACTATAGTCACCAGACATCAAGTCTCCAGAATTTATTAATTCTGTGTAACTGAAACTTCTTACCCATTGGCCAGCATCTTCTCATTTCCATCTTCCCCCAGACCCTGGCAACCACCATCCCACTCTCTGCTTATATATGTTTACCTTTTTTAGATCCCACATATAAGTGAGATCATGCAGTGTTTGTTTTTCTGTGCCTGGCTTATTTCACTTAGTTAGCATAATGCCCTCTACGTTCATCCATGTTGTCACAAATGGCAGGATTTCCTTCTTTTTAAAGGCTGAATAATATTCCATTATATTATACACATTATATAGTATATATATTCTATATAATATCTCATTTTTCTTTATTCATTTATCCATCAATGGACATTTCAGTTGATTCCATATCTTGGCTATTGCAAATAATGCTGCAGTGAACATGGGAATGTAGATATCTCTTTGATATCCTGTTTTCACTTCCTTTGAATATATGCCCAGAAGTATGATTGCTGGATCATATGGTCATTCTATTTTTTCATTTTTTGAGAAACCTCCCTACCATTTTCCACAGTAGCCGTACTAGTTTGCCTTCCCACCAACAGTTGCATGAGGAGTCCCTTTTCGCTATATCCTTGCCAACACTTATCTCTTGTCTTTTTAATAATAGCCATTCTGGGGCGCCTGGGTGGCTCAGTTGGTTAAACGACTGCCTTCGGCTCAGGTCATGATCCTGGAGTCCCGGGATCGAATCCCGCATCGGGCTCTCTGCTCAGCAAGGGGTCTGCTTCTCCCTCTAACCCTCTCGTGCTCTCTGTCTCTCATTCTCTCTCTCTCAAATAAATAAATAAAATCTTTAAAAAAAAATAATAGCCATTCTAACAGGTGTGAGGTGATATGTCATTGTGGTTTTGATTTGCATTTCCCTGATGATTTAGTGATGTTGAGCATTTTTTCATATACCCGTTGGCCATTTGTATATCTTTTGAGAAATATCTGTTCAATTCTTTTGCTTATTTTTAAATCAGGCAATTTTCTTGCTATTGAGTTGTCTAGCTCCTTATGTATGTTTAGTATTAACCCCTTATTGGGTAGATGGTTTGCAAGTATTTTCTCCCATCCCTAGATTGTCTCTTTACTCTGTTAATTGTTTCCTTTGCTGTGCAGGAACTTCTTAGTTTGATGCAACCCCTTTTGTCTATTTTTACTGTTGTTGCCTGTGCTTTTGAGGTCATATCTGAAAAATCATTGCCCAAACCAATGACAAAAAGCTTTTCCTTATTTTTTTTCTAATAGTTTTACAGATTCAGGTCTTTTGTTTAAGTCTTTAACCAATTCTGAGTTGACTTTTGGATATGGTATGAGATAGGGGTCCAATTTCACTCCTCTGCATGTGGATATTAAGTTTTCCCATCACCATTTGTTAAAGAGACTGTCTTTATTGTATGTTCTTGATACCTTTGTTGAGGATCAATTGACTGTAAATGCATTTATTTCTCGGCTCTTTTCTATTCCATTGGTCTAGGTTGCTTTTTTTGGTTTGTTTTTGTTTTTTAATGCCAGCAGTGTGCTGTTTTGCTACGTATAGCTTTATAGTGTACTTAAAATCATGTAATTTGATGCTTCCAGCTTTGTTCTTTTTGCTCGATTGGTTTGGCTATTTGGAGTCTTTTGTGGTTCCGTATGAATTTTAGGATTTTTGTTATATTTCTGTGAAAAATGCCATTGGAACTTTGATAGGAATTTGAATCTGTAGATCACTTTGGGTGAATGGTCATTTTAATAATAGTAATTTTTCTAATTGATGTACCTGGCATATCTTTCCATTTATTAGTGTTTTTCAGTTTCTTTATCAACATTTTATAGTTTTATTGTACAGGTCTTATACCTCCTTGGTTAAATTTATATGAGTATTCTTTTTTCCTGCCCCATTTCCCAAATTTATGAGTAATTTTGAACCACTGAAGAGCTTATATCATCTGGTAAAAGATGGCACAAAATGTACTAGAGTGTATAAAATATCAGAAATACGGTCATTGCAAAAAAAAAAAAAAGTGAATGAAGACAGCCAATCTTTATGTCTGCTTTGTTGTAAAACAGTTTTTTAATTGTATTGATCTGAAAGTGACTGAAATGCTTTGTTTTTAGCAACTAAATTGATTTTAGGTTTTCTTTTGTAGGTGGATTGGACTCTAAATATTGGAGAGCAAGCACTTGATATATGTATTGTCTCTTTCAATCAGTCAGCATCTTCTGTTTTTGTTCTTGGTGAAAGAAACTTTTTTTGCCTTAAGGATAATGGACAGATTCGATTCATGAAGAAACTTGATTGTAGCCCAAGTTGTTTTCTCCCGTATTGCTCAGGTGTGTAGAAGGATTTTTCTTTTATCTTTTCCATATGTCAAGGCTATGTTATATACATCAGGAAAAGCCAAATTCACACGCATATATTTTAAACATCTAAGAAAATAGTTTTATATAGAACATGTAATGGAAATTTTAACTTTCAAAGTTTGAATACACATTTGATATAAAGCACACATTTGGTTTTGTCAGTCATTTTACTTTGCATAGAATGTCTTGGAGAATTGGCCTCAGATATACATTTATGCTTTCCAAAAAGTGGCAGTTCAAGATGTTTGCAAAAGAACACCAGATTCTTTTATAAGCGGAAAGGAGCATAGTAATGCCTAATGGAATGACTTATCTGTAGCCAGTGCCCAGTAAAAACCATTAGCTCATTGTGTTAAATATTAATGAAATTCATGCTTTCTTGATAAAATGCAAAAATGTTGGCTGCTATCTACTTATAGTTCCCAAGTCTGTAAAATTATTTTTTTAATTTTTGATATTGGTGCTTGAAGTTGAAAAATACTATTTTATTACTTAAAATAAATACCTTATTTATGCTTTTCCATTAAGACATTAGAATTAGTTTGTATCATAAATCCCTTAAAAGTGATATACTATTGCAAATAACTGTTTTCTTATTATCCTCTTTTCTATATTCAACATACAGTTTCTGAAGGAACAACAAATACTTTGATTGGAAACCATAATAACATGTTGCATATTTATCAGGATGTGACACTCAAGTGGGCTACTCAGCTTCCCCATATTCCTGTAGCAGTAAGAGTGGGCTGTTTACAGTAAGTGATTTAACTTTTTTTTAGGATCTTAGTCTAGGAATTCTGTAGAAGTTTTATGAAACAATAGCAAGTGATTTTACTAGGAATGACAGGTGACATTGTAGTCTGAATGTCAACAATGGAAATAATTTAAAATATAACTTTTATTGGAAAAGGATATAAAAAGGCCTTACTTAGGCTTCATCAATCATTTTTATTTTATTTTAATTCCCAGATAGTTAAGATAAAGTGTTATATTAGTTTCAGGTGAACAATATATTGATTCAACAATTCCATACATCACCCAGTGCTCATCATGACAAGTGCACTCCTTAATCCCCTCAATCATTTTTATTTAGTATCTCTAGTGAGATATCTTTTGTAAATTAAAGATTTAAAGAAAATGGCTTACCTGGTAGATTATTTTTTTTTAAAATAGGAAAGGATTTCTTCAAGCATTTGATGGGTTCCATTTAGAGATCAGTTACTATTAGACTGAGACTATTACACATCAAAACTTGTTTCGGACCTTATTATGTCAAGTGGTGCAGAATTGCTAATGATTATGTATTTAAGACAGTTCAAATTTTAAAAAGGACCAATTTGCTTTTAAAATGAAAGATAAAATCCATACCTTAAATTTACAAAATTTATCAAAAATAAGAGAAATGAGACATAACTGTGTAATTTTTTTTGGTTGTCAGTATAGAAGGCAAGATCCTGACTAACCTTTAGCATCTCAGATTATGTTTAGGAATTGAAAATCCCAGTAAATATGTAGAAACACAACTTTCTTTTTTTTAAAAAAGAATTTATTTTTAAATAATCGCTACACTCAATGTGGGGCTTGAACTCACAGCCCTGAGACCAAGAGTCGCACGCTCCATTGACTGAGCTAGCCAGATCCCCCTAGAAACTCAACTTTCTCTAAAGCTTTATAGATTCCCTAGATCTAGTCAGTTCTGCTTATTTAGATAATTTTATTGAAATTTAAAAACCAAATGTAGAATTCTTCAGTGGCACCTGTAGTATCTGATCAGTATGACTAATTCTCCCAAATTAAGAGATTGGATGTGTAATATTGTTGAAGCTCAATGAAGGGTATTCATATTTGCATTAATGGTTAATCTGAAGCCTGAATATTGGAAAAATGGAAACACCATTTTGAAAACATTGACTATTTTAAAAAGAAGTTTTCTCATGTTTTATGAGAAAATACCATCATATAATTGCTATGCACTTAACATAAATTGTAGTTATTTTGTATCTGAAGAAAAATATAAAATTTTAAGATTGGCTTTTACAACATCTACCAGATAGTCTTTTAAGTTCAACCAAACACTTAGATTCACCAGACATTTTAAATCAGATTTACTTAGAAGGATTTAGAACAGGAAAAGCATCTTGCCAGCAGGGCAATGTCAAGTATTTCTCTTCTGGGAGAGTAATTCTTGCAGTAGTCCATATATCCATCCAAGAGCTCTTCTCTTTGGCCTCCCAAGTGACAACTCAGGTGTAAGAAGACAGATCCACACTGATGGGTATGTGGCTCATCTTGGCTTATAGGTTTAAATACTAAAAGCTCATTGTGGTTTTTGTGTGTATGTGGGGCAGAGGAGAGTGATGGATAGAAAGATCTTATTGAGACCATTTAGTTGAAATGCTTATTTTACACATATATTATTTACACATTTCAAGAGTCAACTGTACTCAGAGAAGCTCAAAGATACAGTTTCTGAGCAGATGTTTATGGTTAATTTATGGTTTCAGTTCAGATGCATCTTATGAGTTAAGGGTCCAGAAATAACTGAAATTGTTAGGAGTAAAAAACCACATTTCCATGTAGTGTGAATCAAGATGCTTATATTCAGAAGTAGTCTGTCACCTCTGAACTTGGGTATTTGTAAGTGAAACTTCTATTTCTTCTCATAGCTTTTTCAACATCATAATTATAAACAATTAAATGTAAATATTGCCATTAATGATTTCTACAGTTTATTAATATATAACAACAGCTTTTAATTATTCATTGGAAAATTTTTCTTATTTTTATGTACTTTAGCATATATAAGTATAGAGTTAGACTGAAAGAATTTCATTGTAATTTGTATTAGAATTTTAAAAGTGATTATTATTGACTTAGCTATAGTGTATTTATGTTTAGAAGTTATCATTTGAAATTAGAAGCAGTGAAATAATTTTGCTTCTGCTTTTTATTACCTTTAGAGTTAAACTTTTTTGGTTGAACTTCCTTGGCTGAATGCGTTTATTTGTAGAGGAAATTGCTGCTATTTTAATATGTTTCTTTTCAGTGAATAAGAAATACTGGATTTGGATCAAGTTGATGCAATTAATAACAGCATTTTGCTCAGAAACTAAGATGCTTTATTTCCTCCCACTCCCATTTACTTGGCAGTCCAAGTCCTTTACCTTGTTTATTATAAACCAATTCTAAATCTGTCTGTGTTTCCTTCTTTCTTTTCAGGGTAAACGGCATTCTTGATTAGAGAGATTTTTTTTTTTTTTAGTTAAATTATTTTAATTTTTTGTGTTAAACTATGGGAATGTGATATAAGTGTATAGTTTGTAGTTTAAAGAATAAGAAGAGCACGAATGTGATAATATTCTTTAAAATCTCAGCTATTATTGTTTTCCTCTAATTGCACGAAGTAGCTGTGGAAGCCTGGCCAGTGTCTTAGCTCTGCTGTGGTCAGTTTCCCAAACGGCAAATAAAGATCATCATTTATCCGTAATGTTATTCTCTCTAGAGATATGAAATATACCTCAAAGTGGAAGTCTATTTGAATGGATGTTCAAAGTGATGAGAACCTTTCCATTGCTTCAGCTGGCAACCACAGCCATTGTGCTTTAAAATCTTAACTGCAGCTCGTTTTTTAGGATAAACAATTTGGTCTGGTACTTCAGTGTTTTTCTTCCTAGGCTATATCTACTATAATAACTTACTATAACCGTCAGTATTTAACCATTTCATTCTTTAACATTCTTCGATGTAGTGTTCTTGACCAGAATGTTTTCCTCATTTCTTCTTTGGATTTTCCAATTTCTTTTATCTTCTAGTCCTAACTCAAGTCACATAAATAAGTCTTCCCTCTCTCCTCTGGTCTCCTCTTTCTCTGAATTTCTGTATTTATCTTCTGTTGGTGACTGCTGTTTGATTTTTCTAACTCCTCAACTCAATCATACTCTCCTTTAATGTTAGGGACCTTTCTACTTTTGCATATTACACTGAATAATCAGCCAGAAAGCTGAATATATGGTATATGCTTGGTAAATATGTAAAAATAATTGTGATCTGTGCATGTCAGGGGGAGGAATGGTGAAAAGATCTTCTAAGAGCTTTCAGTTGAAATACCTTTTTAAAAGTATGGAACAATTGAGAGTCATAGATGGAAGGCTATTATTTCTTTGAAGACAAACTTATTAGGAGAATTTTCAAATTTTAGAGTGATTTTTTTTTTTAACTTTAACTTTTGCTGTTAATTTGTCATTTCTTTTTTTGTGTGCTTTTAGAAAGGGAACATGGACCTAAATATACACTTTTTCCTATGCTGTATTTTTAAGGATTTCCTTTGTGGCTTAATGGTACACATAAAATTTGTAAATATTCCTGGAATTAAGGTAGAGCATAAATTATGATTTTAGAATTTCTGCATTCTTTTTGGTATATTCCCCTATTAATCTGTTGTAGCTCAGGAGTGGAATGTTAGTCTTTCATTAGTATATTTTTTCTGTCATTTTGTTGTTGAATAGCTAAGCATTTTGGTTTATATAGTCTAGTTCTGTATATTCAGCTTATGTCTATGATATTTTACTTTTTTGGTGAGTTTACAAAATTTATCAATATAAAATTACCCTTTTTTGTCTTCTCATTTAATGTTTCTTTGTTTTGTTTTGTTTTGTTTTATTTGCTTTGAATTCAGTTTGCTGTTGTCTCTACTTTTTTTAATCTGTAATTTTATTTTGTTTTGTTTTTTTTTTAAAGATTTTATTTATTTATTTGACAGAGGGAGAGAGCACAAGCAGGCAAAGAGGCAGGAGAGGGAGAGGGAGAAACAGGCTTTCTGCTGAGCCGGGAGCCCGATGTGGGACTTGATCCCAGGACCCTGGGATCATGACCTGAGCCAAAGGCAGACTTAAAACTGAGCCACTCAGGCACCCTATAATTTTATTTTGGATGCATCGTTTGTAAACAGAAAATTTGATTGGATTTTTAAACCAATTTTGAAGATCATTTCCCTTTAATCTACCCATTTACAATTGTTATAATCTATATATTTGGTCATTTTTCATCTGTATGATATTCTGTACTTTTAATAGTATTTCCTTTGCTTTCTATCTCTTTGTGAGTTGGGGATTCTCTGTCCTTGGATCTCCCATGTATCGGATGGTATGTACACATACATATCTCTTTTCTTTATTTCTATTAGTATTTACTTTTCAGTTTTGCCATAATCCAAAAATGAAATGAATCTTTCTCCCCGTGATAGGCAAAGGGTTTAATACACTGTTTCTTTCTCCTTCCCTGTTTTCCCACTCCCTGTACCACCTCCACACACAGGCATGGGTGTACACATGAGCTTGTTCTCACACATATCACCCCCCACACCCACACAGCCTTTGTTGCCATTTGTTCTTTGCTACGGTAACATAAGCTATTAACTATAAATTATTATTAAACTATACTAGTCCTTTTTTTGAGAATGTTTTAAAATTTGTATTCACTTTTTATCTAGACCTATACTAATTTTTGTTATTTTTCTATATCTATTAAATGTTGTGAATCTTTTTATATCACAAATTATAATTTTTTAACTTATTAATTTCACTTCCTCTCTTAATAGGCTAATTTAATGTTCCCAGGAATAGTATAGGGTGTTAATATTTTATGGTAAAAATGTATTGTTACATTTTCCCCTCAAACTTTATTGATGTTGCTCCTTTATTTTTTTAAAAATAACTTTTGTGGAAAATTATAATCTTGTGATTTCTATAAAAAGTGT